GCGCCAAAAGAAGTATAACTTCAAAAATAAACGCGATAAATTCTGTAAAATGTGTTTTATTCGCTTACTTTCAAAAATAAAGAGTTCATTTCATTTCATTCCATTAGAAAAATATGAACGTAGTGCTTAATGTACTTTGGATAGATATTTCGCCATTCAATCATTCATTCATTTATTTAACACATTCTATCAAAAGTCCTCTACTTAACGTAGTCGTCCTTATTATTATTATTATTATTATTATTCATCTATATTCTCCCTATTACAGAGGTAGCTTAAAACCTAATCACACGGGCCGAAGCCAAGCGTGAGCAGGTGCTAGGTGATGGTGTAAGCGGAGGTGACGGATGAAGTGGTGAGGAATTTGCGTGTGAGTCGGCAGGTGTTGAGAATGACAGCTTTCTGCAGTGTGTACAGTGTGTGTTGGGGTACTTGCAAAATATCTAAACTGCGTTGTAGGCTTTTAGGTATGACTCCGGTAGATGAGATAACTATTGGGACTATATGGATGGCTTCTGCTTTCCATTGACGCTTCAGTTCTATTGCTAAATCTTGATATTTTGTAAGTTTTTCAGCAATGGTGGATTGTATGTTATGGGTGTTTAGTATGGCAATGTCAATAAGGTAAGTAGTTTTGTTATTTTTGTCATACATTGTGATATCTGGCCAATTGAAGTGGATAGTTTTATCCGTGATAATGGTCCTGTCCCAGTAAATTCTATGATTATTATTTTCTAATATAATGTCCGGTTTATATTTGTAATATGGTGTCATTTTTTGTATAAATTTGAATTTAAGCGCAAAATGTTGGTGTATTATGGAAGCTACCTGGTCATGCCGATGTTTATAGTCGGTTTGTGCAAGGGCTCTACAGGCGGATGTAATGTGTTGTATGTTTTCGGGACTAGAGTGGCAATGTCTGCAAGTATCGGTGGGAAGGTGAGAGGTGAGAAGGTTAGGTGCGCGTATTATGTGTCTCTGGAAGTTTCGAGTATCGATGACCTGATCCTGGATCGCTAACATGAAGGCCTCCGTCTCTGGGAAGAGTTCACCGCGCCTCAGCCATGCGTTCGACGCTTTTGTGTCGACATGTGGCTGCTGGAGGTCGTGATAGTGCCTTCCGTGTAGGGACTTCTGTTGCCATGAGGCGATCTTCTCTTTTACGTCAGTAATCCGTTCGTTGCGTTGTGTATTTCGGTCTGCAAGGTTAAGTGGTGTGAAGCGTTTGTCGGCTAAGGTTACTATTTCGTGGAGAGGTGAGTGTTCTGAGCGTTGATAGAAATATTGTCGAAGGCATCTGATTTGTTTGTTATGCAAGTTGAGGACATCTATTATACCTCGTCCTTCATCGGATCTTGAAAGAGTCATCCTTTGTACGCAGGATCTAGGGTGGTGCTTGCGGTGAGCCGTTAGAGTGGTATTTATAATACGTTGTAGATTGATAAGGTCACCTTGAGTCCAGTTTATTACACCAAACGAATATGTCAGTATGGGGATTGCGTAACTGTTGATAGCTTTTGACATGTTGCGGGAGTTGAGCTGAGACCGGAATATACTATTGAGCCGATGTTTAAATTTCTTTTTGAGACCTTCTTTTGTTTCCTTTTGATGAATCTGTCGCGCTTGTTGGAAACCTAAGTATTTATATGCGGCCAAGGGTTCTAGGGGTTCAATCGTGTCTCCTGATATTAGGCTATAGCTATTACGGTTAATTTTTCCGTTTTTAACCGAGAACGTTTTGCACTTGTCGATCCCAAACTCCATATGAATGTCGTTTGAGAAAGTTTGAGTGATGTCTGCAAGGCGGTGCAGTGACTGTGTAGTGTTACTGTATAGTTTTATGTCATCCATGTACATCAGGTGTGTAAGAGTGGTGTGTTTGTATGGAGTGATGATAGAGTAACCATGATTGGTTTTGTTCAGCATTTGCGAGAGAGGGTTTAATGCGAGACAGAACCATAAAGGGCTGAGCGCATCACCTTGGAATATTCCTCGACGTATTGGAATTTCTGGTGTTTCTATACAAGAAGTTCCTATGGTTTTTAAAGTAGTTTTCCAGTGCTGCATTGAGTTTTTAAGAAAATGTATAATTTGTGGGTGAATTTTATAGTGTTGTAATATATACAGGAGCCAGCTGTGCGGTACGGAGTCAAATGCTTTTCGGTAGTCTATATACATTGTGCTGATGTTTTTCCTATTAGACATAGCTTGTTTCATTGCTACGGAGTCTATTATGAGTTGCTCTTTGCACCCCTGACTACTTTTTCGACATTCTTTTTGTTCTTCAGCAAGAATGTTGTTTTTGGCTATATGTTGATGTAAAAGTTCAGCTATACATCCTGTAAGTAGTTTATAAATGGTTTGGAGACATGTGATAGGTCTGTATTTGGCAGGATTTTGATGATCTGCGTCTTTCGGAATCATGTAGGTGAGGCCTTGTGTAATGTATCGGGGCATTATGTCTGGTTTTTGTATAAAGTTATTGATATGGTTATGAAGTAGAGGGTGAATTGCTGTAAGTTTCTTATACCAGTAATTATGTATGCGGTCGCTTCCAGGTGCTTTCCAGCTATGGGATTTTTTTAATATATGCACAAATACTTCCAAAGGTATTTGTTCAAATGCCATCGGTGTGATAGTATCAGTTACTTTGAAATCTGTGTTCAGCCATTCCGCCTCTGTGTTGTGGTGAACCGGCACAGACCATATACCAGACCAGAAGCTATGTAATTCAATGGCAGGTGGTAATGGTGTATCTTGCCTATTTCTATGTGTGTCATGTTGCGTGTCTGAAGTCAGGCTCCTGTAAAATTGTTTTTCATTGTTGATAAACTGGCCATTTTGTGACTTCCTAAGTGTACAGTTAAGGTATCTTTTTAATCTGCTAGATGCCGCATTCAGTTTTTGTTTAAGTGTGCCAAGGAATTGTTCATCGCTCAAATTGGGTTCTTCGTGTTGTGAATGTATTCGGTATTTATTTTTTATTGCTTTTACTAAAGTGATGAGTCTATTGCTTCTGTTGCCTTTGATATATTCTGTTAGTCTTCCAATGTCTCTTCTGAAATCCTGTATCTTTTTTGTCAACCTTGTCTGCCAGGCGGGTTCTTTATTTCGAATTTGGGTGGGCAGTGTGTTTGTGTCTCTGATTTTGGTTCCGTTACTTATAGCTGCTGTGTATGCCGTGCAGTAAATTATGGTCTGAGTGGTCTCAAAGTCCTGCTCTCTCGATATGTAATTTGGTAATATTTCAGTGTTTATAAAATCTACAATTTGGGCTAGCCTTTTAGAAATTTTTTGTTTTGGTATATAAGGTCGTTTAGTTGGGCTAATGTTCCGAAATTTGTCTATTGCCATTCTAAATAGTTCCTGGATATTTTCCGCGTCGTTATTTTTTATTGCTTGATTTTGCTGAGGTTCAAAGGCTTGAGTAGGTACTACTGATTCGTCAGTTTGAGATTGTAAGGTTAAACTAGGTGAATGCACGGGAGTGTTACTTTCTATAATGTATGGATGAATGTCAGCTTCTTGTGAGTTTTCTGTTTCGGCTGTAAGGGTCGTGTGTTGTAATGTGATATGTGAATAATTACTTTCTAAATTGTCTCGCTGGGAATTCAGCTTGCTTGATATATTGTCACGTATCTCTTGAAGTCTTTGGTCATTAATCATTTTGTTGTTCAAAATTACTCTGAGCTGATCTGATATTCTCTGTACACTTACACCTGTTAACTCAGGATGTTCATCTATGACTGCTTGATGGAGGGGTCGACGATAGGCTGATTTATTTTCTCCAAGTTCGCTGACTTTGTAGTAATTTCTTACAATAGATTCGTTTTGCTCAGCTGTCCATCTTCTTCTTTGTGTTAAGCCTTGCTGGCTGCTAAAATGTGGTTGCGTGATCGAGTCGGTTTGTATGTGGTTGGTATTACTGTGTGTTTGTTGTAAGTATACTGCAACTTCATTCCATATTTGATCTAATAGTTTTTGTAGGAGTAATTTATTTCTAAGTATAGCTCTGCATTGATCTCCCAATCTTTGTTTTGATGCCTGCATCTGTGGGTACTTATTAGAGAATTCTTTATGTAGATGATTGAGGTATATTTTGCTAGTATTTAATTTAGTGGCTATGAGGTATGTGCGCCAGATGAATGTATTCATTTTATCTGTCCATCTTTTGCGCGCACGATTTCTGCCTGGGGCGGGTGCAGGTTCAGTGGCGGCAGCCTTCTGCACAACGTCCTCAGACATAAGTGATTCAGAGTTTGATCTGGTTGAAGACTGGTATGAACATGGAGATGATATAGGTGACTCGAATGAACGAAAAGGTGAGGGTGTCGATGAGGTTATATCGCTTAGCATGTCGGAGTCCATGTGTGTCGCTTGGGTCGTTTGACGGGTTGCTTTTGCCGCTCGGGGATTCTTCGCACCCCTAGGCCCAGTCTCAGGCTGGCTTCCGTCATGACCAGTGCTGCTACTGGGTCCGCCGAGCACTTGAGGCCGTCTACTTCTTGTTAATACCATATTATTCTCCATTTGGGTTTTGGGTTTGGGACCGTTAGTTGAGGAGGTTTGGCCAAGATGTTGGTGGCTAATAATATGTTCGTCCTGTATCGGTAAGTACAGGGTTTGGTAAAGTCTGTAGTGACCGTTGATATGTTCATGCCTCCCCTTAAGCCACCCCCCACCGCGTCAAGGTGGTCCCCCGGGGGGGTTATTATTATTATTATTATTTGGAGGCAATTTTTATTCCCTTACAGAAGATATATTTGCTATAGTTCCACGCTTAACAGGTGAGCAATCGCGGATTTAAATTTCACTTTTAATTTCATCTTCTGTTTCACTTTTCCTCTGCTAGTCCTCCACTTATTCCTACACAGTCAATTAAGTATTATTACCACGATCTTGTCTGTCTGACAGAATTGCTTTACACATAATCCTCAATTGTGAATTATATTGTTATAGATTTTTCGTAGTAAACTTTTATAAACTGTATTTATACACAGGGTCATACTTTACTAACCGACAAAGACGGGAACTATTTTCGTTTGCAACTGAATACGTTACACTGCGTGGAGTCGTTGACTTGTTTATCTAAGAAACCTTTTTCATCGGAAAATATTGTCCAAATCTATGGGAAACATGAAGCATTCTTCGATAAACTACTGGCTAGATATCAGGTGAATTAGCTTAAGTTTATAAAGGATGTAAAGAAATTGTAATCTCGTATAGTAATAATTGATAAAATAATTCTTCAAAAAGTGTGAGGCGTTTGCATACATTTGTTATACAAGCAAGGGGGAAAAAAGAGTCACCTGATGATACATGGCTGCTGTACCTCATAGCACCTACTTCAATTAAGAATCATAATGCGTTGTTACCTCTGAGGTCAAAATCGAATGCCTCGTTATCAGTAATAAGGAGGAGGAGACAACCAGACGTTCGGCCAGTCTCCACCTTTTAGTTGTTGACTTACCAAACACAACAAACAGATGGTTTACGATATCGTTCGTGATGCAGCATAAGAGTAGTATAATTTGTCAGCATCTGTCTTTCCATCCGATAACATTGTTAGTGTCTTCAAGGCAAGAGTAAATAGGCTTTTGTTTTGTCAAAGCGCTTCACCATCTTATGCTTGCTACATTAGGTGGGATTGTAGTAAAGCGCTGGCTTAGAATAATAAAAAAATATATATGGGTCTCCAATTCTCGTCGCTCACCATTGAAATATAGTAGCATTATGTTGCTATTTTACGTTGGTAAACTGTCGAGAACGCGTATATTTCCAAATGCTTTTGTTCAGATCGGGCCAATCCATACGTGCTGCATCTATAATGCAACTGAAGCATAGCTCTACCACGTAAAACTTTATACAATTCTGTTTTATGCAACGTTCCGTTTTATTATGATAATGATTAATTAACGTTGAGTTTGAAAAAAAATGCTATATACTATATATTATACATAAGCAAGTGCTTATGTATAATATGAGTCTCTAAGAGTGAAAATGTATTTCAGTTCAGTGTCCGTTATTGCAGTTGAAGCAGATAGATGATTTGTACGACTTTTTCGCTCAACCATGGATGTCCGCGATGTACCATAAGAGTTTTAAGGATTTACTATATGATATTGACAATCAGGATGTTGGCACAGTAAGTATTTAAGGTTTGAAAAAAAATATAGCTGCAGTGATACAGCTTTGCTAGTCTCCGTAACCACGATACCTAATCACTCATCTTTGAATATATATATATATATATATCATCTTTGAATATATAAAATATCAGTAATATTATATCCTTTTTCAAAAAAGGATATTGAACTGGGTAAACATCATAAATATTTATTAAGTAGATCACAAGTAAATTTTTTAGATCACATTAGAGTCATGCGTTTAATTTTAACTTTATTTAATTCTTGACGTTTCTGAATAAAAAGATTAGTCGAATATTAAAAAAGTTGAAATTAAACGCGATAAAATTCGTAAAACTATATATTTATTCCATGATTCTGTTTAGGTATTATTATACTACTAATTTGTTATTTTATGTTTTATTATTATCAAAATTGAATCTTAATGCATGTGCTTTAACTATCCGATTTAGACATAGACATAGACATGCATTTATTCAGCAACTTACACTCATACAGTTTTGATACAGAAAATAAAATGATACATAAAAACATCAGAGATAAAAGTAAATAAGAAAAAAATAGACATAATATGATCCGATTGAATGAGTGATGTTATGCTGAAATTTAAAAAAATTAAGGTTTATAATCTTTTAAAATCAAGGTTTTCGTTATTCGTGCCTTTTCACTGTTAATCTCTTTTTTATTTATTTCTTTCATAGAATAAGGGTTAAAAACAAGCAGACTAACCTGATGGTAAGTGGATGCTGTGGCCTTAGACATCTACATCTGTTTTCGATTAAGAATCAAAATGAAGACGTGTTTTAGGACGAAGATGGAATGCCTTGTTTTTAGTAAAAAGAGAGACCCTTTTCCCTCTCGGTTCTCTACATTTGCGCTGGCATTTTTTTTTGTAATTTTAATATGCATTGGTAACATATAAAACATATTATAACATATTTTTTAATATTTGGATCATTTGGCGCGTTCTTTTTAAAAAGTTTCCCCACTCTTTACTCCACTTATGTAGCGCTCCATCCAAATGCTTATCCACTGTGTTACGGAGCTGAATTAATGTTTTGATTAGTTTCTTACGTAATGTTTTGATGGGTTGCTTAATTTAAGTGATGTACTTCTAAGAGGTAAGAAAAAAGCTAGTACTCTACAAATGTTTCGATTGTTTGACGTAATCTCTATATATAAAAATCAATTGCTGTCCGTTAGTTTCGCTAAAACTCGAAAACGGCTAGAGCGATTTTGATGAATTTTTTTGTGCGTATTTGAGTGGGTACCTGGATGCTTTAAAACTCAGAACTCGGTAGGTGGCGCTGTTGTCGAGACTCAGAAATCACCCGTGTAATACCGGGGCGGACCGCTAGTAATAAATAAAAATCACGTTATTTTTTATTGGTGTTAGAAGAATAAAAAAACGAGAGTAACACTAATATGCTTAAATATTTTTGAAGTGAAACTTCTGTATCGCCGTAGCCGTAGCTGCCGTAGACGTTTATTTAAATTCTAATTATTTCATTTGTATTATTGTTAAATTATTAAAATTATTATTACTATTAGAAACTTAATAATAAATAAAATTTCTATCTAATTTTTTAAACTGTGGTTTACCTTTTATTTTTAATAAGTTTTTAAATTACTTGTTTCAGGACGCACAAGACATGGGCACTTTCCGGTCTGTTATAGATAAATTCGTAGTCAAAAGTAGCTGTGAAGTGGTAAAGTGCTTTCTTGTAATTTTATTTTTTTTATTTAAAAAGCTTAAATGTTACTTTAAAGTTAAGGCTATATAGGGCGGAGTTAATGCCATGTGGTATTCTTTGCCAGTCAACTATGGGTGCCAAAGACAATTCTTGGCAGGTGCGAAACGTATACATAATATATTAAAAATAAATATACATAGTACATATATACACAACATAATATACAGTTTTCCTTGACTTAATTGAACGCTATTTTTTTAATTCTATGCTAATTCTGTGCTATGTTCTTTCTAGTGATTACAGCGCATGACTAATTTTTGGCATCATTTAACCCAGAAAGAAAAAGAGACATCACTTTTTGTAACAAAATGACGACTTTTATTCATTGCCGTATTTTGTATTGCCTTCCTATCGTGTCACAGATCACTAATTGTTTCAAAAAGCTTGCATTTAACCAATGTTTTATTATGATTTGAACAACTGGGCCACTATTATAATGCATTAATTGACGGAATATAGAAATAAATTAATATTTGTTGTTCTGAGACCGAAATTTAAACGAGAGCAAAAACCGTATTGTATTTCTTAATATTTATTTTATCGCGTGATCTGAGAAGAAAATCACCACCATCATCATCATCATTAGAAGCGTTCACAAGTCCACTGCTGAACATACACCTTACAGGTTGGTATGAGGTGTTCATAAGATGAAGTAGTAAGTGGACACATCATTACCGTTAATTGTTATCTCTTTTGTAATATTATAAGATAAAAAATTTAATGATTTTGATCATCGTTGTAGTAGTGGGTAATGAGAGATATAAACTAACTTATATCCATCAAAATATTAAGTTTATATATTGAATATTTGATATCAAGTTTAATATACTGAATTAAATAATTTGAATTTAGAATATTTGAATTAATTGTTACGAGATCATAACATTGTCAATGATTAAAATTATTAACAACTGATTAAACAGTACCTAAATAGCAGCATAGCACGAGGTCTTATATATCATAGGTATACAAGTCACGAAATCCTAAAATTTCTTTCGCCTCAGCCATAAATTCATATTATTTTATTGTATTCTCTGTCGCCTTTCAACGACGTCTGCGAGTCGAGTTTTTTTTCACACCGCCACCATACGGCCAATATGAAAAACTGCAACAGCAAGGTCTTACCGCAATTTGAAATCACGTTTGTCCATATTTTCAAATAATTTTGTGATACCTACTAGATGGCGTTACACACGCTTAAACTTAAAAATTTCGATGAGAATTGGGACAAGAATAGTTTGTTATTTTTTTATTCATGCAACACACAGCCTTCAAAAGTCCACTGTTGAACATAAGACTCCCAATAGATTGACAATTGGCTATAGCTTGATACGCGTTGCTGCGTTTTTATTTTCTAGTTGTTACTAGAGCTGCCACCCACCTCTTAGTTTGTTTCCCTTTGTCGCGTCTTCCCACGGGACGATAGTATATATAGTGGATATTTTTACCACGCCTTTAGACGGTCAGTTATAATACAGCATATTGTGGAAATAGTTTAAGAGTATTTACTTTATACAGGAATGTGGACAAAGCGCCGTTATACGAGACGAAGTTTTGGGCATTTGGAAGGCAGTGGGCGGAGAACGCATCGTCGTAGCGCATCTAGCGCATTATTTAAAACAGAATTATGCTGCGAACCCCCATTATTCCCTGCCAAAACCTGAATATTATTAAAGTTTAATGTTTGAAGGTAATATTAAGGTTATTAATTTGTTTGTGGAAATAAACATCTTATACTTATAATGTTTATTTTTGTGTTTTATTTTCTCAATATATTACTTTCTTTACTTTCTCGATTTACTTAATTAATAAAAAAAATATCCAAAACCGTATGTAGTGCAGTATTTTAGCTATAATAATTAATAACAACGATTCTTCATTGTGAATCAGTGAATATTGATATTGATGAATTATAAACTTAATTACCATACCCTACATCTCAATTTAGTAAAAATGTTGTACATAACAGTGTCAGCAGTAAGTAATAAATAATTAATACGGGTGTAGTTATATCCTTTCCTCATATTACGGTGGGTAGACTTTTGTTATTAGAAGCTTAAGCTTAAGAAGGTATATTTTATGGATTTCGTTTATAACAATTTGAATATCGTAATGGAGCTAAATATATTCAGACCAGTCTCTCTTTAATACGTGGTAGAGCCATGCTGCAGCTATATTTCTGGTATAGTTGTACCATGAATGGGTCGGCTCGATCGGGAAAGGACTACGCTCTCACAGAATACCAGCGCTAAATAGCAGCTTAACGCTGCTGTGTTTCGTATGGTGAGTGTAGAGAACCGGATGCCCTTTTTACTGGAAACGAGGCATTCCATCTTAGTCCTCACGGGTGACAACGCATCTGCATTTTGATTCGTAATCGAAGATAGATGTAGATGTCTATGGGCCACAGCAACTACTTAACATCAGGTGGACTATGTGCTCGCTTGTTATTTTATCCTATAAAAAATTCTATTTTTTGGGAACATCGTTTAAGTTGAAAAATTGGAGACTGATGTGTTAAAGAAAAAGTTGGACAGGTTCGATCAAAAGGAATTTTCTATACTTTGATAATCGTGTGTTTAAATAGTCGTCGTACTTGAATATTGTGTATTGAGGATTGAGTTTAGATCCTGAGTTAGAATCCTAAATGAATGGTGTTGTGATAGGCCAGATCGATATATTGGTTCCCGTATTTGAGTTATCCGACATTATTCCGATGATATCCCGGACGTCAGTCTGAGCGAGATTAGAATGGCTCTCCAGCACCTTAAAAACGGCAAGGCTCCAGGCGAGGATGGAATTACAGCGGAGCTTCTGAAAGCGGGTGCAAAACCGGTACTTGAAGTCCTTCAGAAGCTCTTTAATTCCGTCCTCCATGGTGGCATTACACCGGAGGCGTGGAGCAGAAGTGCGGTGGTCTTGTTCTTCAAGAAAGGCGACAACGCTCTCTTGAAGAACTACAGACCGATTTCCCTTCTGAGCCGCGTCTACGTGCTGTTTTCGAGAGTCATTACGAATCGTCTCGCGCGCAGACTTGACGACTTCCAGCCTCCCGAACAAGCCGGTTTCCGAAAAGGCTTTAGCACCATAGACCACATACATACCCTTCGGCAAATTGTACAGAAGTCCGAGGAGTACAATTTGCCACTATGTCTGGCGTATGTGGACTATGAGAAAGCCTTTGATTCCGTCGAAATTTGGGCGGTGCTGCAGTCCCTTCAGCGATGCCAAGTTGACTGTCGGTATATCGAAGTGTTGAAGTGCTTGTACAGTAGGGCTACGATGGCTATCCGAGTACAGAACCAGAGTACGAAACCTATCCAATTGCAGAGAGGTGTAAGACAGGGTGACGTCATATCCCCGAAACTCTTTACCGCTGCATTGGAAGATGTTTTCAAGCTTCTGGACTGGAAAGGATACGGTATCAACATCAATGGCGAGTACATCACTCACCTTCGATTTGCCGACGATATAGTCCTTATGGCAGAATCGCTGGAGGACCTAAGCACTATGCTCAATGACCTCAATAGTGTTTCCCAACGGATAGGTCTTAAGATGAACATGGACAAAACAAAGATCATGTTTAATGTCCATGTCACACCTATGCCGGTAGTTGTTGGGAACACTAAGCTCGAAGTTGTTGACGAGTATGTTTACCTGGGACAAATAGTCCGACTAGGTAAGTCCAACTTCGACCGAGAGGTCAATCGACGGATTCAACTCGGTTGGGCAGCGTTCGGGAAATTACGGCACATCTTCTCGTCAGGTATACCTCAAAACTTGAAAACGAGACTGTACACCCAGTGCGTGTTGCCAGTGATGACATACGGAACTGAGACGTGGTCCTTCACTGCTGGCCGGATGAGGAAGCTCAAGGTCGCTCAGCGAGCTATGGAGAGGGCTATGCTCGGAGTTTCTCTGCGTGATAAACTCAGAAATGAGGATATCCGCAGTAGAACTAGAGTGACCGACATAGCCCAACGGATTAGTAAGCTGAAGTGGCAATGGGCCGGCCATATAGCTCGAAGAACCGACAACCGATGGGGAAGAAAGGTTCTCGAGTGGCAGCCTCGTACCGGCAGGCGAAGTGTAGGGCGTCCCCCCACTAGATGGAGTGACGACCTGGTAAGATATGCAGGAAGTCGATGGATGCAGGTGGCTCAGGACCGTGCTTTGTGGCATTCTTTGGGGGAGGCCTATGTTCAGCAGTGGACTTGTGAAGGGCTGTAATGATGATGATGATGATGATGATTTGAGTTATATCGTTTACTACCAACTATAATATGTTTATTTGTCTTTCTGTTTTGCTTTGGTCTGACAATACTTTACACTCTGTGCAGTTGATAACCACTTCGAAAATTCGAAAGTTGTCACCATCATTAAAATCTGCAAGAAATACTTTATCTTTTTATATATTTGCGATCCACAACGGCTTTGCCTGGATGGGATCAATTAATGTGGCATCATTTAAATTTTAGATTTTTTGGTATTTTTGTTAGTCATCTTCATAAGCCCGTAAAAGTCCATTACTGGACGTGGGCCTCTCCCATTTTAGGTAGAGTTAATATATGCCATAATACTACGCTTTATAATAAGATTGGATATAATAAGGATCGCATTGTCATTTATCTTGACCCTTTGAGTTTGCCCCGTTACCGGTATTTCTGAAGCCATGATGATCCTTCTAGCATTTCCCCACGGAAATTTCCCACATTCACCTCTTACGATACCCGAGAAATGGGGTGATCGAATCTTTTTCATCGCCATTATAATAATATGCCGGTTGAATGATGCATGATCTCTAGGTTGAAAGTAGATAATAGTGTTCCGCGTTCATGATTTAATTTCTCTAATTTTACTCTTGCGAACTTTTTTGTGTATTTTGTAATGATTTTTTTAAATTGAAGAAAGGCATATCAAAATCTAATTTTGAATGGCTGGTTGGTTGTTGACCATGTTCGAAGTATGAAACTGTGACAAATATAAGTACTATATTTTGGCAAAAAATATCTTACACTGACAAACAGTGGCAATGGGCCGGCCATATAGCTCGAAGAACCGGCAACCGATGGGGAAGAAAGGTTCTCGAGTGGCAGTCCCGTACCGGCAGGCGAAGTGTAGGGCGTCCTCCCACTAGATGGAGTGACGACCTGGTAAGACATGCTGGAAGTCGATGGACTCAGGTGGCTCAGGACCGTGCTTTGTGGCATTCCTTGGGGGAGGCCTATGTTCAGCAGTGGACTTGTGACGGGCTGTAATGATAGTGATATATATATATATATATATATATATATATATATATATATATATATATATATATATATATGTATATACTAGCTGGCCAGGCAGACGTTGTTTTGCCCTTTCCCAAGACCCTTCCTATAAAATATTCTTAAATTCACAATAATAAAATATTGAGGGTCACTTATCGGGATAAAAACTATCCTATCGATAGGATAGTTTTTATATATATATATATATATATATATATATATATATATATATATATATAAACGACCGCCGCTTTGGGATCACTCAAACTGCACCATAACCTACAGACGCTGATATAACTTGATGGGTGATTTCATGTTTTTGCTAAGTTAGCAAAAGTCATAATTATAAACTGTCGTCCTAATTCGAAGATCGGGCTAGTAGTAGTTTTTTTTTATAGAATTAGGATGACAAACGAGTACACAGTCCACCTGATGGAAAATTGATGCTTTGACATCTATCCTCGATTAAGAATCAAAAAATAATGCAGATGGGTTTCACCCCCGATGACTAAAATGGAATGTCTCGTTTCCAGCGATTGTCTACACTCACCATACATACAGCAGCATGAAGCTGCTATTTTACGCTAGTATTGTGTGAGAATGTGGTCCTTCCTCGGAGCCGACTCATTCGTGCTACAACCATAATATAGCTGCAGCGACCAATATTATCTGGAATTGCAATTTAGATTTCATGAACTTTTACAACATGACGAGACACTGCAATTTGCTTTCGAAATGTTTCACAAACCATCGACCGTTTGCAAACAGGCAACGCCGTATGTATATGACGATTCATAAAATCTACTGACGACATATTATTTAATCAGTTATACATTATGAAGTAAGGATTAACAGTTCTTTAAGTTAGTAACAGGGTTAAAAAATAAAAAAAGTAAAAAAGAGTTGCAATACATAGTGGACATATTTGATTGATTCCGTTTGAAATAAAAATTATAATTTACATTTTAGACAATTTATTTCATTTTACACATGTTTGTTATGTAGATAAGATCTCTTACTTATTATATTTACATTTAAATGCACAAGGTGGCCATTCATTGGTTGTGGATTAACTTTAAATATAAATAAAAAAAATAAACAATTGATAAACATTAGTGAAATACAATGAGATCAAGTTCGTTCAGAGTAAACTGACTAGCAAAAGCTTAATACAGATACTTATAGAATATATACGGTTTAGAAAATGGCCGCTTAGTATTAAAATTCGACTAAACAATATTTAGTGCTAATATCGTTGAGCTGTTAACACCTTAAAATATCATGCAAACTTTATTTACATCGTAATATAACTTAACTTTGTATATAAACGAGAGCTCTTTATTTAAATAATATCATTAACGAAATAAAGGACGATGAACAGTTTTTGGCACGTTTATGTAAGAACGTACAGAATGTTATTTTCAGTACGTTTTTGAGCTTTCTATGAAATTAATGTCACCAACGACTGTCGGGAAAATACGTTATATTCTTATTATTCCTAAATTTAAAATGGCTGTACAATATGACTAGCATACACAATTTTACGCATATCGCAAAACAAACGTGTTTAGTATTAAAGTAAAATTCTACTTTGTACCTATATATCTAAACGCACTTCTGATAGAGCGCGTTGTCTTACTTTATAATTTAGTAGCTTTGAATATTTTGTGTGAGTATACTACAAGTCAGTTTTATAAAATGTTTTTCCCAAGTCCAATAACGAGTTTCAGATAGCAACAGCACCTAGAAGCCGGCTGTTTAAAAATCGTTACCTCTAAAAAGAGTTTTGTGTTTTTCATTTTTCTTTTAACTAGCGTATGCTTGGCAACACTGTGACATTACATTACATGTTGCAAACATTAGTCATCAGAATTCTATAGATTTATATGTATTTCTGAAAATAATACAACCATAGGGATTCACGGGATCATGTACTTTATGATAATCAAAGTTGGATTAGTTTGATTTATAGTTCACGACAATAAAGAGTAGATTGCAGCATGATGCTTAATAGTCTTTTCGTAATTCAGAATTCTCAAGTGTAGTTATTTATTTATATTAAATACATTTCTTTCGCCATGTAAAAATGTAACAATGTAATAAATTTCCAAAAATGAAAACTAACGCTTGATTTCTTTATTTATAGCCCCATCTAATATTTGAAATATATTATAGAGTTAGTTAATAGATAAATAAAAGTACAATAATATTAACATAATAAATTAATCAATAATAAATTACTAATACACTATTACCATCACATATGAACAAAGAAAAATTTGTCACTTATAATTACATCTTGTTTTATCACCAAAATTAATTTGTAATATAAATTAAAGTGGAGTAAATGTTTTAATGTGTTCAACAGGAATTATAACCAACGACACGACAGCAATTTCTGCTTCCCGTCGATTATGGTGGCGCGTAGTCATGCGCCGGCGCCGGCGAGTAGTCGGCGCCGTGCAGTAGCGATTAGGTTTGGTACTGCAACATGGGCGCTGCAGCGAGATTCGCATGGTGACCGCTGTTCATTCGCAGTGCGGATAGCGATTTATTGTACCATTCATCTTCTGCGCTCATACCTGGGAAATATAAAATATACATAATAAAATATATTGTAGCAGAATGAAATTAGAAATAATTGTTGGTCGATTAGCGGTGGCATAAATGAATGCATGAAGCATGGTTGACTACGTTGACAACTTGAGTTGTAATTTCATTATAGATTTCTGATGCTATCATTTAAATACGAAGGTATATCGTACACAAAAATGATGACTCTAGACCACTCTGGGTGTATACTGTATTTGATATCTTATTCTTTTGTTTAACGAGTTTCTCAAAGTATCTGTATGAGGGACACTAAGTTTCGTAATAACTGATGAACCAAATGAAGTATAGCAGTGGCTTTTGAAAATCCACAACCTCATTTCGTACCGTGTCTGTAGTAAGTATCTAGTCATAGAAAGACCCCATAACTTTCAAGAGATAAAGGTATAACCATTCTATTTGAGCTCGAAATAATACGTACATACCGGAGTGGCATCAAAGGTGCAAGAAGTCTCATATTGAGATTGACTATTGGCCTGCCTAACGCGGCGTTTAATGCAAATCAAAAATCCCTAGTGGAATTTGATAGGTTGAAGATGATAAAGAAAAAGACTTCAACGATTGTCAATATTGCGAAAGATGCTACGCAAATAATTTCGCATTAAATCGTACAAAATTTTTAAATTCTGGGTATTTTTTATTTTTAAAAGACGTCATTCACACAGTGAAATTTTCTCCTGTATCGTGAAGGCGTTCACGTACATGAGTTTCGCATGAACACAAATCCAGAAAAGGAATATTAATTTGTAGGATATACAAACACTTGCTCCAGTGCGAGATTCGAACTCGCGGACAATCGCCAAACAAACATTATTAGCTAGTTAAATTGATGACTTTCACTTTAAAATTACAGCTTATATACGCCCCGTAAGTCCCGTCCCTTTTCTGAGAGGGTTATGAAGCAATTTCATTTACTTTTATACAAATTTCACAACGCAATTTGATATAATAGTGTAAAATAATAATCATTACATTAGAGACAGTACAGATGTTTTCAGAAAAAACATTTTATTCTTAACCGAAGAGCATGTATGCGCAGGTATAAAGACGTGACGGCGGCGAAAGCAGTGTGTCAGGGTGGTGCCAAATGTCAAAAGTTCGTAAAATACCAGAAGTCCGTAATCTCTGCTTAGTTCTCTGTGTGACAAGCATGTTAATGTTTTTTATGTTTTAAAAAATATTTTCTTGAAAGTTTTTAGATAAATTACGTTGTAATTTACTTATTCTTAAGTTTTCAAGTAGTGCTATTGTATTGTGGCAGTGTAAGAATATCTGCTATCCCATATCATCCCGTGAGTATTGTAAGAGGCGACTGAGGAAGCATGTCATGAAATTGGTAGCAGCGTCTTCTTAATAACAATTAAACATTTTAAAATAAAAACTGCCATTGACATTCAAGCGTAACAACTAAGGCAAATACGGGGACGAAGTACATGTATTTCCATCGGGTAATTTATATACTATGCCTAGATTCAGCAGTGAACTTTTGACAGGTTGTAACGGAAATGGTTCATGTATAGATCAATCGCAGCATACGTTTTCGGTTTTTTAATACAGTCCTATAAGCCTTGTATTAAATCTCAACTATCATTGAGAGCTTAACGCTGCAACGCCGATAGTTGTTAGCTGAATTTTAAATATTTAAGGAAAAGTAAAAATGACCCTAATATAATTAACAGCGCTGTGGTCCGCCACAGCATAATTTTTAACGTGGTAGTGCCATGCTGCAGCTATATTAATTGTATAGTTGTAGCACGAATGGGAATGGGTCGGCTCAACCGGGGCAGGACCACGCTCTCACAGAATACCAGCATAAAATAGCAGCTTAATGTCGCGCTGTGCTTCGTATGGTGAGTGTAGAGAACCGAAGACCTTTTTTACTGGAGAAGAGGCATTCCATCTTAGTCCTCACGAGGGACCCTATAAAAAATTGAGTTGGCGGTAGGTACATCTCTCACAACCTTAATCTTAATTTTAACTTTTAACACAGATCCTTTTTATCTCTGTTAAGAAATGATATATCTATCTATTTATCTATCTATCTTAAACTAAAGTTACCTACAGGTGAATATGTCCCACTCGTGGGCAAGAGTTTTCTCTAATTTTCTGAGAGGGTTAAGGATCAATTTGTGTGCCGCGCTGCTTGAACCCGTGTGGACGAAATTTACGACTTTTGTAGTATTTTAATTCCTCACACATGCAGGTTTCCTTACTATGGTTTCCTTACTATGTTTTCCTTTACAGTCATAATCAGCGCTTAACATTGCAATTAAACATTTAATTGATGCTGGCGGCGATCGATCCTGGGTTGCACGCGTGCTGTGAAATTTTTAGCTAGTATTTAGCTAGCTTAGCTCACTCACTCTTAGCCACAGCTCCAGCTGACACCATTCTGGTCTTTATGTATTTAGAAATACATAAAAAAACCAGAACGATCATTAGTCCTATGCAAATAGGATATTTATGGATGTTAGTCAGCAAGTTGCAACACATATATATATATATATGTATGAGAGAAGAGGGTCGGGAGCGAATAGTGAGGTACCGAATCGACCCTCGCGTTTTCTCAAGATGCAATCTCGCCGCAGGAAATAAGATATTTGCCAAGACGCCGCGAGGACGCCCGCCAAAGTAAATGTAGTGGAAATTTTCTTATTAGAATATCTACGGTACGATGCCTCGCTTCCATTACTTGGTCGTTTTTTTTACACTGGAATCTGTCTTGCGCCCGTGACGTCGAGTTTTATGCTTCGTCGCGCTGGATTTTTGCCGAAATAAGCTAACTTATTGCTTATATTTGTGCGATAAGAGAACGATAAATACTTTATTTACTTTTGGAAAATTCTTACAGACCCGGTTTGCTTCTTGGTTGGTACTTGGTTTCTTTACAACGTAGAATTTTAAAGATATATATATTTATGGGTATTCGTTATTTTTCATATTAAGTCATGTGAAATGAATTTAAAATTAAAAAAAAACACAAATTCCTAATATTATATCGATTTGTAATGACTATAGTGTGTGGACATCTAAAATCAACTTCAAATAGGTACCTACTTTATTACTTCTGGGGAAGATAAATGCCTATAAGCCTGTAGTTATACTGGCTTTTCACTTAGAGCTATAAATAATATTTTTTTTATAGGAGATGGAGCAAACGAGCATGCGGCTCACCTGATGGTAAGTGACTACTGCCGCCCATGAACAACTGCAACACCAGGGGAATTGCATATGCGTTGCCGGCCTTTTAAAAAGGAGTAGGCTCTTTTCTTGAAGGTCCCTAAGTCGTATCGGCCCGGAAAAATCGCTGGTGGTAATTGATTCCACAAGGAAGTTGTGCGAGGAAGGAAACATCTTCTAAATTGCACAGTGGTGGACCGCCACTCATCCAGGTGGTATGGATGGTATCGCAAGTTTTGTCGTGATGTGCGATGGTGACATTGAGCGGCTGGAATTATTCCGGACAATTGTAATGTAGAGTTATTTAGTCATCGATTATATTAATTTTAATTGTAATTGTTCTTTTTACTTTGACTTCTACACATATTTTTTTAATTCAATAATTAATATCATGAAATATCAATCTACACATATTCTAATTAAAAACAAATGATGTAATTTTTAGGGTTCCGTACCTCAAAAGGAAAAAACGGAACCCTTATAGGATCACTTTGTTGTCCGTCTGTCTGTCTGTCTGTCTGTCTGTCAAGACCCTTTTTCTCAGGAACGCGTGGAGGTATCAAGCTGAAATTCATATCAAATACTCAAGTCTACTGTCCCTTGGAGCTGTGAAAAAATAAAACTTCTAAGCCAACGCAATCAAAATTTATGCCGCAAATTTTCGACATTCGCAAGGGAATCAAAACCTACAGGGTACTTCCCGTGTACTCAGGATCTTTAAATTTGGTACGAAGCAACGTTTCATAGCACAGATAAAGGAAAAATTGCGAAAAGCATAAATTTTTAGTAACATCATATAATAAAAATATTTTTAATAATTTCAAACTTATATACCTACGGATTTGTTCGGAACCCTCGGTGCGCGAGTCCGACTCGCACTTGACCGGTTTTATTTTCTCTAATTTTGCGCTTCAATAATATATGAAAAAACATAGATACGTACCTGCATAGTGTATGTTGATAAACTAGAATTGCTTAATTTACCTCAAGTTAGCTAGACTAGATAATTTATAATTTCCGCCCGCAAATTCAGCGTCGTGTAGTGTTGACGTAAGAGAATCTACTACCCCATATCATTTCGTGGTTATCGTATTATAAGACAGAGGGAAACTGAAACAGGAGATGAGCTGCAGCATCTCCCTGATATCAACTCAAAATAATAAAAAGTTGCTGTCGCCAACCTGACTGCCAAACGTTGCAACTATAGCGGATATCCTCTTCAGCAATTGATTTTGATAAGCTGGTGATAATGATGATGATATTGATTGAATCAATAGAATACATTTCATGTAATATGTAATAGTATGTATGTAGGTCAGAAACTTGCACAAATGTATTAATTCTCATCTTTATAGTCAAATGTTTGTTAAACTTATAATAAGTTTGAATTTTCCGTTTAAGAAGGAAACTTTGAGGTTTTCAGTAGAAAAGGAAAATAAAGAAATCTAATTTCGTTTTGAATATACCTAGCGGCTTTGTTAGCCTTATTATATAGTTTTATTTTTAATTTTAAAGAATGTATAAAGTCGTTTATAATATGACTTTTGCGCCGTGCAAACGTCTTCATTTTAAAAAGGCTCGTTTTGGAAATCGATGCTTACTTTAGGTGTCCTTGTTTGCTTTAGTTAGTTTAAATATAAGCCTATAGCTAGCTTTCTTTCTACCAGTGAAGAATTTTTAAAATTGGATTAATAGTTTCTGAATTTACAAATATTAGTGTTGACATTTTTTTATTTCTTTCTAATTAAGATAACATTACAAAAATGTATATATACAAAATGCGACTGAGTTGTAATAGAAAAAAGTTCAAGCTTTTATAATAACGATCGTCGACAGTTCTGATTTAACATCCTTTTGATCACAGGAAAACGTTTTTGAAATGAGAACAAAAAATTACTCGGCGACTTTAATAAATTGTAATTAAGTTTTTTCTTATTTCAAGATCATCTGGAGAAACTTAGTCTTATCTGTGGCGAGCAAAGAGAGCAACTTTTCTCATTATTATAAGGGATATTTGTATAAAAACGGGTCCGGCTCTGCGATCATTGCCTGGCTCTTCGCAACTTTATAATTGCCTTGACGGTGCTAATAGAAAGTTGATGAAAACTGCCGCCTGCCGTCTACCGCTCCTTGTTTCGCGCTCATAACTTGTATTTTAGTTTTTACTGTAGTGCTTTAATTTTATTCTTGTTATTATAAAGGTTTTTTAAAGAAAATAATACGTATTATACTTATTTAGTGAGCCAAGGAGGCTCAGAACTCCCCTTTAAAATTCATAGAATGCAAGAAACGGAGTTAAGTGTAATCTTAAAAATTAATATACCACATGTTCGGTGAAGGCAAACATCGTTCGGAAATATTCAGGGTACATGTGAAATTCGTCAACACACATTGGTTCAGCGTGGCGCAATTTTCCCTGCTCCAATTTTTATTTAATAACGAGAGGAGATCTGTGCCCTGCAGGAGGACATATCTAGGTGGTTACTGTATTTTTATTTTATTTTTGTTAATTTCTTACTCAAAATGCCTATAAACCTTATGTCTCCTGTAGTTTTGCGCTGTATGAAATTTCGTAAGATTCAGAATATTAAGTTAAATTTTAGAGTTTTAGACTTAACTAATATAAATTGACTTAATCTTTCGATCTAGCTATCATACGGGGGATGCAAATTTGTGGTTTTATTACTTTCAAGGACTCCATTTAGGTTTTCTGTATTCAGCAGGATCTGTGTCGAGCATAACCCGATCATAACCCGAGCGGGATCGAGTCACGGATCTTAAAAGATTCGATCATTCTTCGCAGCTCACGTGCTTGAATCGCGCGCCGTGACTTTATGACCCGTGCCTAGTGTATGGATTTTTTTTTACTTCGGTGTGTGTGTTGTTTGCTGTTTTCTGACTTTGGTGTGCATGGACTAGCTTATTTACAGTAATTTTTCAAACCCAATAACTATTATTCTGATATTATTAAATAAATATGCAATATAGGTACATATTTACTTTAAGCCACTTTAATATAATTATAATTATTTTACTAAAGTGGGTCAAATATGTACCTATTAAAAATAAATTTATAACAATAAAAGTAGTGCATATTTTGAACGATAATCTGCGATACAAGAATCATCTCATGATTGAATAGTTTTGACCCGATCACCTTACCATTAGGTCACGAACGACCCGGGTCAGAACAAACACAAACATTAAAATAACTACAAGATTCCATAAACTGCAATGAAATTTCGAGAAATAAAGAATCTGAAGAAATTATGACTGCACTGACTTTATAATAATTTTTTTTCCATACCGGAGTACTTTTAAAAATTCGATAGCGTGATTTCAAGTGAAAATTTGCAATCTTTCTATAAGAGATAATATTAGGTCGGGGAAAAAGTTTCTTCCTATTTTATATACAAATTCAAGACATTTGTTTTCAAAGTTTAATTAGATTTAATTATAATATATATGTGCCATTTTGATCGATAACTTGTTGCCATCTTAAAAGTAGTGACATAATCCCGTTGCTGTAGAAATCTTGGGATTTTTGATCAAAAAATGCGACAAATAGTTTTGACAGTCCTCTTTTGACGTTAACCTAACACTACCTAAAGAATTCTGAAGAGACCGAAACAGGTGAAAGTCTGACGGTGTAAGATCAGGACTATTTATGGTGGATGCATTAACACTTACCATCCAAACTTTCTTAATTTTTGCTGAGTGGCCAAAGATGTGTATCTGGCGTTATCATGATGAAAGACCAGTCCTTTTCTGTTGTTCAATTCCGGCCGTTTTTTCTCAATTTCTTGCTTGAGCCTCATTAGGTCTTAGCAGTAGAGATCCGAATCGGTGGTTATACCCGGCGGTAAAAGCTCATAATAAATGATGCCCTTCCAATCCCACCATACACACAGCATCACCATATTGCGTGTTAATCTGGGTTCCACCACAGTCTGTGAAGCTTGAATACCCCTTAAACCATGATCTTTTTCGCATGTTCTTGTCGTAAGTGATCCACTTTTCATCACCAGTGATTAATCTTTTCAAAATTGGTTCGGTTTCATTACGTTTCAATAGAGAATCGCAAATGAGTACACGATTCATTAGATTTCTTTCAGTGAGCTCGTGCGGTACCAAATATCAAACTTTTTTGTGTAGCCAGACGTTTTCAAGTGGGTCAAAACTGTTTTGTGGTCAATCCTCAATTCCTCAGCTATATCGTAACTACTTATATGCCGATCTTGCTCAACTTTTTCAAAAATGGCATCGATTTTCCGTATGAGTGCGACCAGAGCGAGCTGAATCTTTGACATCCAAATTCCCAGACTGAAAACGCTTGAACCAAATTTATGCTACTCTTACTGACACTGCATAAGGTTCATAAACATAACAATTTTTTTTTTCGCGGCTTGAATCGCATTTTGCCCTTTTTTGTAATTAAACTTCAGAATGTATCGAATTTCTTCGTTAGATTCATTTATTTTGGCGGACAGAAAAACATTTGAAAAATCGGGGGAAAGTGATTTTTACTTTTTATTTTTCTTTTCCTTAGTCTATAATATAAAAATGAATCGCTGAATGTGTTGCTAAGCGCAAATCTCGAGAACTATAATACCATACCATAAAGTTTAAATGTTAGTGGAGGGGTTCCGGGAAGGCAAAATAATTGAGTGACGTTAGTATCGTATAAATATTAATGTCAATATTTATATACACTGGCAGGTAGCTGATGTTATAAGGAGTAACTTGGGCTGCTTTTATTTTAGGGTTCCGCGAAAAATAACTCCACGCGGGTGAAGTCGCGGGGAACAGCTAGTGTCCTATATGAATTGATATTAAAACCAGTCAGATACAAACAGTACAACCAAAGAGATTTTTCTTCAATTTTGTACAAACAAAATACAGATAAACTTTTTCCCCGACCCATTATAGTTCCTTTTATAACTTATGTCGAGATCGAGAGATCGTTGTTATTGACATATTTTATTTAAACGCTTTTATTTTAAAGGACATTTGTTAATGAATCTTACCCATGGTATCTTGCCGCATGCCGACGGCAGACATATTGGCGCCGTGACCCATTGAGAAACCCTGCGGCATCGGATACGAGCCGCCGCCCATCTGCGACAGCGAGAATATATCTTTCTGCAGCTCCTCGTAGCTGCCGTGATGCTGTTTTAAAGAAATGATTATCAGGATTAACATTCAGACAAAAGGAGCAAGAAATATCTGTGTTATTTAGAATTTATTACTTAGAAAAACTTTAGAAGAATATTATGACCTTCGACATATTATACTAAAATCATTGAATAACCGTTGTGGCGTTGTCAAGTTTAAAATATAATATAAACTAGTAACAAAAATAATTTGATTTTACAAAGAGATATGTTTAATAGGCTTGCAATGACAACAGGTTATACGTGGTAGAGCCACGTGGTATATTTATTGTATAATTGTAGCACGAATGGGTCGGCTCGACCGGGGAAGGACCACACTCTCATAGAATACCAGCGTAAAATAGCAGATTAATTCTGCTGTGTTTTGTAAGGTGAGTATTGGAAACCGGAGACCCTTATTACTGGAAACGAGGCATTCCATCTTAGTCCTCACGGCTGACAACGCATCTGCATTTTGATTCGCAAACGAGGATACTTGTAGATGTATATGGGCCACAGCAACCACTGAACATCAGGTGGACTGCGTTCTTGCTAGTCATCCTTATCTTATAAAAAAATGCTTAGCTACTTTTATCCTATTCAGCTACTTTTATAATATTCTGCCGAATATCGCATATCTAGGTGTTAGTCGGTTGATATCGAATATTTTAGATTTTTTTTTTACTGTAGTCGTATAGCTGGTAAAATAAAAATATTAATATTTTTCATAGTAAAGTACTTTACTTATCAATACATACTATATAAATGAAGTTGAAGCGTATGTCTGTAATATCGGAATAACTGACTTTTATTGAGCTGACTATAAAATACATATATATACATGAATATAAAATTTTTGTCTGTCTGTCTGTCTGTTCGGAATCTTCGAAATGGTTGAAACGGTTGTCATGAAACTTCACGAACAGATAAAAAATCCTTAACCAAGATGATCTAGGCAATTTTTATCCGAAAAATTTTGTGATTTTTTTTGAAAAATCAAAAAAATATAATATGTGGGTGACTTATTTTAAGAGGCCATAATGAATTATTATGAGGTCACACAAATTCATTTTTAATTAAAGTACAAATGAAATCAAAACGAAGATAAATAACCGGCCAAGTGCAAGTCGGACTCGCGCATGTAGGGTTCCGTACCATCGTAAAACACGTTTCTAGTACGGGAGCCCCCTTTAATTTTTAATTTATTTCAATTTTTATTTGTTGTTATAGCGGCAACATAATAACACATTCTGTGAAAGTTTCAACTGTCTATCTGTTACATACAGCCATTGACAGACGGACGGAGGGTGCTGTTGGTTACCCTTTGGGTACGGAACCCTAAATAGTAATAGAAATAGAGAGAAAATATTAAAAAACCCGACTGCGTCTTCTTTATTACCGCCATTTTGTATTTGACGGACGCCATTTTGTTTTTATAAAAACAAAACTAGTCTATGACCATTGCACTGTCTAGATGAATCGATCAACAGAATCATTGATGAAAACATTATAATCTTGTCAAACGTTGGTATGCTTCGAGGGTGTAAAGGATTCCACATACATAGTTGCAGTCAAGTGTTTAATATGTTGATTGAAAGCCAAATGTTAGCAATTCACGCAATTTCAACATCTAAGAGGCATCTTCTCATCATTATTTTTTTTTTATAGGATAAGGGTGACAAACGAGCACACAGTCCACCTGATGGTAAGTGGTTGCTGCGGCCCATAGACATCTACATCTATCCTCTATTAGAAATCAAAATGTAAATGCGTTGTCACCCATGAGGACTAAGATGGAATGCCTCATTTCCAGTAAAAAGGCCCTCCGGCCACCTGCACTCACCAAGCAAAACGCAGAGGTAAACCTCTACTTCACGCTAATCGCATTATTATTATTCACATTGTTTTGCTGATGATGACATTTGTAAATAATGTTGCCAATACTGGTATAAGGTGCGATCTGCGAAGCTGCTAGGTATTATGGTTAAATTATCTTAAAAAAAGTATTTCAAGCCTACTTAGAGTAGGTACATAACGATAATATGAATAGCATTACGAATGTGAATTTTTTTTCAAGAAAAAAAAAAAACAAAAAAAATCATGTATCTACTAATCATTCATATTAAATCTTACAATATTCAAAATAAGGAGTATGTTAGGGCGGAATTTGAATGGGAGGGTGAGAAATTGTGTGATAAGAGAAAAGTGTGGTTTGCAAGATGACGTTGTGACCAGGATTAAGTAAAGAATGCTTTGGTGGTTTGGTCATGTAGAAAGAATGAACGAAGAAAGAGTGATGTTACAGAAGTGAACGGCAGAGTCGAGAATGGACGCCCTACACAAAGGTTTATTGACCAATTTGGCGATATATTGAAAATCGGCCAGATTAGGCGTGTATGCGTAGATATATGGATGTAAAGGAGGCGAGAGAGGTGTTAGGATCGTGCCATATGGAAGTCCGTAGTTTCTGCCTACCCCTATGGGTGACAGGCGTGAGTGTTTATATAAAATATATTCGAAATGTAATATTCAATAATATTTAAGAGGATCAGCCTTGCCTACTTTACAAGAATACGCACACATATTATTTTTGAACATAGGTATTCTTTAAAAGTTGTTTTGTTTCTGAATTATCTATTTATATATCTATTAATATGATATTATTATATTATATAGAATAAGTATATGAATATATGTTTATTTTTAAATATAATTTATATTATACTCGTTTACTGGTACACGCAGAAATCGTCGCATAAAATTATAAACAAATTAAATTGACGAAATGAAAATTAATGCATGCGACGCATTTCAACGCCCTGAAATCTCATCAACGCCTCATTAGCACACGGAGAGGTCGCAACGGATAAGTTAATCGTTTTTCGCTCGCTTGTTTTATGTTAATCGTTCGTTGAGCTGCGGCTGTACGTTTCATTGCTATCAACACTTTCGTAAATTGTTAATGGGATAGCGGCGGAAATTAACACAATGAGATAGTTACGTGACTATTTTGAGTACTTGTTCTAAACATGTTTCGTATACAGCTAAGGTATAAGTTGCAACGGGTGATTTATGAGGAGAGTTATTAAAATTTTATTAACATTTTCACTGTCCATTTTCATACAAAATAGTAGGACAATATCAGTGATGATGATGATGATATGTAGTACACAAGATAGCGAAAAGGTTGAGTAACAAGTGGTAAAATTAAAAAATTTGATTAAAACCTACTTCAATATAAATAAAATGAGAATTTAGTCGAAGTCAATTAAATAAGCATTATTAAAGATAACTCAAAAACTACTGGTTAGATCTTGATTAAAATTAAGCTTTCAAATAAAAAAAAATAATCATCATAATCAGTTAATTTACAAAAAAGTTCTGGGGTAACACACATTAAAAAAATACAGTCGAATTGAGAACCTCCTCGTTTTTTTGAAGTCGTTTGAAAAGGAAAAGTATGGCTCTGATAGCGATATGGAATTGTATCAATTATAGCAGGGCTTTGTTCAAGATCAATGGTATTGCAATTTTCTGGCATGCTGAGTCGGAATCAAATTTTGGCATATTATTTTTGTAAACTTATCATTTGGAAGTTATTATAACGTGTTAGATATTTCAAAGCTTAAATTAGAACACAAATCTACCTGTTGATTTACCTAGAGTTCGAAATGAGCTTGAACGTGTCTGGATGTTTTAGGTAGTGTTATCCTTTGGCATATCTTGAGGACAATTGATTTATCGGCTCTAAAATTAAAAATAATGTAGTTAGACGGAAAAGGTGACAAAGCAAATTTATGCTGAAGTAGTTAGTGGCAGTATCGCCAAAAAACTCCCTAGGTTCAAATTCTATAGTCGACCAAATTGGCGATATATTTAAGATGGGCCAAATTAAGAGTAGCCTAAACCGACAAGCATGTATACGTAGAACGTAGATGTAATATATATGTGGAAGAAGCGAGAGATATGCCAAACGGAAGTCCATGGTCTATGCCTACCCTTTGGGTGACAGGCGGGAAAGTTTATGTACTCGTATGTATGTAAAGTAAATTAATTCGACGCGTAATTGCATTACGAATACCTGATTACTACTTCCCGCTCCTAGACAGGTAAGTCCTACAGATAGAGAAACAAATAATCGATTATTTCATATTCTAAACGATTACTATTGTTCACAGTTATTTGTTTAGCTTGCGGTGGTTTTCGCAACTACCATTTGCATTATTTCGGCATTGGGCGCGAACGAGGCTGCCGTATAATCGCATTACGTTGTAATCAGAGCATTGATTAGCGCCACATCGTATTGAGAGACAAATTGTGGTGTAGCGTAATATTTTTCCTGTTTTTTTTTTATTGAATAAGACGCATGTTTATTGCTGAATGTTTTAGACACAACAGTTATTACTTTTTGGGCGCGTAAATTAAGAAAATGGCATTAAATTTCAAACACCAACATTCATATTTAGTATAACTATAAAGTAAAACTATGTTTTATTTCGTACGTATATACGTATGTATGTAAATATTTGGTGACTGTTAGAAACTTCCAGTTTGTTTGTTAGAAATGAAGTGATAAATTGTATTTAATAAAATATTCAATCAGGTGTTCACTATGTAATCACGCGTCGAATGAAACTGGTATGGAGTCTATATTATCATTATTCTCTGAATATGCTAGACAAAATAGTTCAGCAACGTACCAACAAACACACACTCACACTGACATTATTTTACACAGTAAGTTTGTTTTTTAGGGTTATCGAGATATTATGTTGTTTGATATTCCAAATATTGGACCATTTATTTCAAATTTACATAATAAATAATACACGAAAAAAATAACATACTGGTAGTAATGTCTATTTCATATTTAAAATAGTATATTATTTTATATATACAAGCTCAACCACCTTTACCGTAATAGCAAAACGTTTTCTTACTTTATTGGATACTAGCGAACCGTCCTGGTTTCGCCTGAGATTCTATATTTATGTGGTAAGTGGTTATATCAATCTCAAGATTTTTTATCGTAGGGCTAGATGAAGATGAAAATGATTAATAGGGAGTCACAGTTCTCGCACAATGTAATATCTGAAATTCATCATTCATTTAGTATTCTAGCCCTTTAATATAGTAAAATCTATAGTTTAGTTATTAAAAACACTAAAAATAAATATTGTATACTCGGTCCAATGGAAGAGCAGAGTCACAACACAAGCATTACTACATGCTTCCTGGGCGACTCTGGCCACAAAATAATGCTTGTAGACCTAAGTTAAAGAAATAAACAATTTTAATTTTAATTTTTTAAATATTACGATTTAAGATAGTCATCAATTTATTTTAGCAGTTTTTCGATTGTCCTAAAACCCTTTAATTTACCGAAAACAAAATTGCCTAAGTAATGATTTACTGGCGTCACTCTCTATCTTTTCTTGAAGTTTCATCGTAATCGGATCAGTCATCCTATAGATAAGATCAACAACAATCTCTTTTTTTTTCTCTTTTTTTCGACGGCTCCGTGGCGCAGTGGCTTAGCAATGAGTTGCTGCGCTGGGGGGCGCGGGTTCGAATCCCGCACGGAGCAAGTATTTGTATGGCCTACAAATGATTGTTCCGGGTCTGGATGTTTGTCCTTGTGAAATTTGTGTTTGTAAACTGCCTCCACGATACAGGAGAAAATCCTAGTGTGGGGGTAACGTTTTCAAAAAAAGAGAAAAAAAAGACAATAAATAAACAGAGAAAAATTTAAAAAATATTATCCATGTATAGTTAGATTAAAAAGTTATTCGTTAATAGTTATTCATATCGTGCAAATAACCCCCGGAGATTAAATGAAGATAGTTAATTCTACATTACAGACGGACACTTTAATTTTATTTATGTATATCTTTAAACAAAATATTTTTTATAACAAAACAATTTTAGGCTATATCGCGATTTTTAAAATATATAAAAACTATATTTGTCTTTTTTTGTAATTTAGAAATACTGTGAAATGTACTTTACCTGCGGGTACCGATTAATGGTGTTTGGATGTGGGTAAGGTTGGTAACCCCGATATCCTTGGATATTCCTCATCATGCCATTGCAGCCCGGGAGCACTGCCGGCGCCAGCGCCTTTTGCAGTTGCTTTTCTTGCTTGCGATATTTGGCACGTCGGTTTTGAAACCACACCTGCACAAAGGAATGTCATTATTTCATGTAAAGGCAAGCTCGTATAAGAAGTTTTAAAATATCCGTATTTTATGTAGGTTAAACTGGTAAGCGAAGAGTAGGGCGGCTCTCCACTAGATGATATGACGATCCGGTAATAGATGCAGGAGGTCGATGGACGCGAGTGGCTTAGATCGTGCTATGTGGCATTACTTGGGGGAGGTATATCTATCTTCAGCAGCGGACCTATGATGGGCTATAATAATGATGAAAAGAAAGAGTACTGAACTCAGTGTGCAAAATATCGACAGTAGCTTTATTGTTGAGACTACGGATCGTGGAACTCCGAAACTCAAAAGTCGTAGATTCGAGTCAGACATTCAATTTCTAGCATAGCACAATATTTTATGCTTATTTTGTGTGGATAAAAATCGGTTTATATTTTTGGAATAATATTTAAATTATTTTAACTTATTTCTGTTTCTAAATATATACTTTTTTTTATAGGATCGAGTGACAAACGAGCACACAGTCCACCTGATGGTAAGTGGTTGCTGTGGCCCATAGACATCTATCCTCGTTTGCGAATCAAAATGCAGATGCGTTGTCACCCGTGAGGACTAAGATAGAATGCCTCTTTTCCAGTAAAAAGGGTCTCCGGTTCTCTACACTCACCATACGAAACACAGCAGTGTTAAACTGCTATTTTACGCTGGTATTCTGTGAAAGTGTGGTCCTTCCCCGGTCGAGCCGACCCATTCGTGCTACAACTATACCATTAATATAGCTGCAGCATGGCTCTACCACGTATAGAGAAAGAAGTTGTACATTACTTAAAATAGTTCTCTAAATCTTAATTATACTGTTTTCGCCTGTTAAACCGAAACACAATAGTGGGTTACAGTCTGCGTCAGAAATAAATAGCTAAAAGATTTTTACTTGCTCTAACTCACTGCCGTGTTTCCAATAAAGGATAAGTAATTCAGCTATTGAGGTATTTCATCTAAGCCCTCAGGGGTGACAACGTTATCTATGGCCTTTTTGCTTGAAGTTGGTTGTAGGTGACCATGGACCGCAGTATCACTTAACATGAAATAAGCTATTAGCTCGCTAATCACTCTATTATATTCATTCAAATTGAATTGTATTTGTTAAAACATTGATAATGTAAAGGTATAGCTTCTAAAATTACATATTACATATTATTGTATAGTTATACAAATGGGAACAGATATTTTTATAACATCTTGTATTAAAAATATATTTTAGGTATAGATATAAATATTACAGATGTAATAAATACTGATACTGGTGACGTGGAGTAGCCACTGTGTAATGTTTCAGAGATCTCGTACTTTTACAACTGGAGAGAATTATGTTTAGAAGTGTATTGTTTATATACCCTTATTAAAATGTAAAATAAATATTGATTCTTTAAAAAAAACAACAACAAAACCTTAAATGAAATTCTCAAGTAAAATAAGAGGAATAATTTTATTAAAAAAATTCTCTCTCAACTCAACTCAAACAACAAAAAGAAGGCCAACAACATGCGAGACCTTAATCCGTTGTTGTCAACAGGAATGAGAGTATACGTCGTTTGATATGGTGATTAGACCTGATTAGAGGAGGGCGGACTGTGGGGCGGAGTGCCGCTCCCTCCGAACGCACTCTCCATATAAATAAACCGATACACCCTATATCTAACACACCCCGAACAACGTCTGTTAAAATTGAAGCTATTTTGCTCTTTATCTAACTACGATACGGATGTTTCTTGTATGCGTAGGTTCATTATTCTATGTATACTTATTTCGCGTGGATGTAGGGAAGACACATAAATGGCGCATTAGTTTTTTTGTGAAGCTATCCAACATACGTAGTACGCAGCGCGTTTTGGCGTAAAACAAGACTATTTCCTATCGGTTTATAGAATGTTATGCAATTTGTATTACATCATTCGAGAAATTTCGGTGATTTAATACTTCTAAATTTTGTCCAATACTTGATGTTTTGCTCCCTAGTTCTTTAATATTACCGTATAGATAAAAGATAACTCATTAGACTTTATATACTTAGTAACACTCTTCACACTGAAACTAAAGTAAAATATGCAAATCTTTATTAACAGACACTTATCGCATAAAAGAGAAAATAGAATTTAAAATTCTAACTTTTAATGTTTTAAAATCAAATAATAAAAAATAGGACTTTTAATTATGTATTTTTATTACCTAAATGTAATTAGAAAATATTTAAATTTAGAATAGAATAGAATAGCATCGAAAAATTACGAAAGCATAATGTAGTTCCCATTGCTACAGTCAAGTCAAGTTATGCTAAGAGGCAATTTATGACTCGATCTGCTTATTTATATAATAAATTTAATAAAGTTTTAAACATTTACCCTATGACTAAGTACAATTGCAAAATGACTTTGACAGCACTATTAAAAACTTGGAGTTATGATAAAACTGAGAATTTCTTGCTGAACCAAAACTAACACTTTCTTGGATTATATTTTACACATAATAGAAGCTTGTATAAAAAAATATTGTATTTAATAAAATAGGAATGATAAAACTCACCTAAACTAAATTATGTTAGAATTCACAATAAATAATATTTATTTATTAAAATAGAAATGATAAAACTCACTTAAACACATACACACACACTCTCCCACACACGTGCGCACGCACGCACTCGCGCACACACACACACACACACACACACACACACACACACACACAATAGCGCGCACGCACGCACACACGCACACGCACACACGCACACGCACACACACTTATTTTGTTATATTGTAAATCCTTTGTGTATCATGTAAAATTTGTTTAGAAAGCATATATTGTTATCTACTGTAATTTGTCTGTTGTGGAGCAACTTTAAAAATCAAAATCAAAAAATATGTTTTTAGATTAAGTATTGAAGTAAATAGGTATCACATTAGTATTCGATAATCAATGTTACGGAGAGGGGGGATTTCTAACACAAGTATTTATTTACTTAAAAGAAATCCTCAATCATAACAGTGCTATGTAAAAACTCTGATACTGAATAAATTATTTGATTTGATTTGATTTGATTTGATTAGACTACAGATTTTATTCATTACTTGAAAAGAAAAAAACATACACGTTTTCGTTTATAATTAAATATTAAAACGACGACCTAAAAACGGGCAAAGCTTCGTTATTTAAAACTGTTATTCAATAAACGTAACTTTCAAAATAAAGTTAAATAATATTCAAAGAAGATATTTATATAATCTCCTGGAAATGTAACAATAAACAATCAATGTCGCATTAGTCCCATAATTCCGTTTAATACAAATATATACGATTTTCTTTTATTAATCTCATATTTAGCAACTGGCTTGCCGAGCATCTCAACTATGGCAAATGTTGTTCAGCAGTAGACATATGATAGGCTGTAATGAAATTATAAAATGAACCAAATATGAACATTGATTGAAATAAGGATTAAATTGTATTACATAAATAAGTAAAGGTTTTTTATTGAAGAAATATATAGACAAATATCTATTCACCCTCAAGCCTCATGTTATTCGTTGAAAACGGTCGCTTTTAAACTGAAAAAGCACGGGATCCAACAAAACATTTTCTTATTTCCAATTGTAGAATTCATTTGAGGGCAGAGACAATGTCGGGAGGCGCGCGGGGAGGATGAGCGGCTAACTTCGTTACGGATCCATTTGATGGGATTGCAATGCCTCAGGGGCCACCCTCTCCTCTCCGCCCCTGTCTCGTCCCTCCCGTGCCCTCCGGTGTTGTATTTTTATATCGAAATTTCCTCTAGAAGGGAGCTCGACGTCGTCGTCTTTAACGTTTACATTCTTATGTAGCGTCACCCCGAACGCTAATAGGTTTCTTCGAGCGCGCGTACGTATTTACAAGTATGTACGAGCCCACGCTGTGTCGTATCGCACATAATATCTACGTGTTTCGTAAGCTTTCAATGCTAGGTATACAGAAGTCTTCGATTTAATGACATTTCTAACTCTTTAATTTTACTCAATTATATTTTAACAGCCTTGGCTGATAAAAATCTGTGTAAATAAATTTAGAGACAAACTTAAAAATCAATTTGCTTTTTCAATCACCGATACATTACCCATTTACCATTAAAAGTCCACAGCTGAACACAGTTCTCCCCCATATATTACCTCATAGGATGAATATTTGCCACGTTTGTTTCCCACCACTTAGTTAATCCGAAAAAAGTAAAGTCTATCCAAAAGCGTGGGAAGTATAAGCAAATTTTCTAAGAAATGCATGTTAAGTGCACGTGTCGCCACATTCTTGGAAATACTTAATGTCTATAAGTGGACTTAAGATGGACAGACAACTTTAACAGAAGAGTTACAAGCAATGAGAAGCATAGGCGCAGATTAACTAATAGCACAGTAAATATATAGTACACTGTGCTAATAGTTAGGTACTGGGTGACTATTAAATACGAACATGAGGTATTTCTTTTTCTTTATCTTTCATACCTAATATAAAACGTTACCCCATAGTAGGCTTTTCTGCTGTATTATAGCAGATACGGTACTTCAATTTTTGGTATGACCTACAATTATTTGTAGGCTATACCAAAACTTGTGGGATTCCAACCCGCGACCCTGCAACACTGCACTAAACGTTTGGCTACTGTGCTACGGAGCCGTTGATATGGTAGATTATCCTTATTAATATTTTCACAAAACAAATATTTTTAATATACATTTGAGTAAAACGAAGGCAAATAATGTCATTTATATTTTATAAAAATAAACAAAAACCAAGTTCTCAAGTATTGAGTTAAAAGAAACTTAGTCTTTTAAGATGCTAAAAGTCACGTACTGAATAAAATATCCAAAAGCGACAAATTAGGTGCTCCGGGGACAAATCAATATAGGGTCCCGAGGGATTGAGCGATTTTAAAACTGAGATAAAGATCGCGAGTTACTGTAAGCATTTCGTATTCATACGGGCGGGGACGACAGATGGCGCTTTAATTTTATCCGCCTCCGGCCCATGTTACAAATTGTATTAACAAGGTATTCGCATCATTGATATTTGAACAATCCTAAAGTACAATGACGGTACGGTACTAAACGCTGCTTTGATATCTTGGTTTACTTATTTAGGCTTAAAAACAATTTCTTGGCCATATACGTTCAAGACCGGGTAAAGAAAAAATTGCAGGTCCAGGACTTCCCTTTGGGTAGGAGGTCCTCAGGCCACGGCTCAAGATTTTCAGAGGAGGTTAAAAATATAAAAGCTATTAAAAAAAATCTTTTTAAGAGCCTAAGTCCGAATTTTGTGCACTCGCTACGGTTTATAGGCGGCGGGAAAATGAAATCGAAATCTTTTGAATTATTTTCAAATTTGTAATTCTGAGGCTGCCACTCGAGGACCTTTCTTCCCCATCGGTTGTCGGCTCTTCGAGCTATATGGCCGGTTCATGGTCATTTCAGGTTACTAATCTCGTAATACTAATCTGTTGGGCTATGTCGGTAACTCTGGTTCTAGTGTGGATATCCTCATTTCTAAGTTTATCACGCAGAGAAACCCGGAGCATAGCCCTCTCCATAGCTCGTTGAGCGACGTTGAACGTCTTCATACGGCCAGCAGTGAAGGACCACGTCTCAGTTCCATAGGTCATCACTGGTAACACGCACTGGTTGAACAATCTTGTTTTGAGGTTTTCAGGTATACCTGACGAGAAGATCTGCCGTAATCTCCCAAACGCTGCCCAGCTGAGTTGAAACCGTCGATTGACCTCTCGGTCGAAGTTGGACTTACCTAGTCGGACTAGTTGTCCCAGGTAAACATACTCATCAACAACTTCGAGTTTAGTTCTCTCAACAACTACCGGCATAGATGTGTAATGGATGTTAAACATGACTTTTGTATTGTCCATGTTCATATTAAGACCTACCCGTTGGTAGACACTAATGAGGTCATTGAGCATTGTGCTTAGGTCCTCTAGTGATTCTGCCATAAGGACTATAACGTCAGCACATCGAAGGTGTGTATTCTTTTCAGTGGAGTAGCTTGAAAACGTCCTCCAATGCAGCGGTGAAGAGTTCCGGGGATATAACGTCACTTTGTCTTACACCTCTCTGCAGTTGGATAGGTTTAGTACTCAGGTTCTGTCCTCGGATAGCCATCGTAGTCTTACTGTACAAACACTTTAGCACTTCGATATACCGACAGTCAACTTTGCACCGTTGAAGGGACTGTAGCACCGCCCAAATTTCGACGGATTCAAAGGCTTTATCGTAATCCACATACGCAAGGCAAAGTGGCAGATTGTACTCTTCTGTCTTCTGTACAGTTTGCCGAAGGGTGTGTATGTGATGTTAATAAAGCCTTTTCGGAAACTGGTTTGTACGGGAGGCTGGAAGTTTGGAAGCAGCGTGCGAGACAATTCGTAATGACTCTTGAAAACAGCACGTAGACGCGGCTCGGGATGGGAAATCGTTATGTAGTTCTTCAAGAGAGCATTGTCGCCTTTCTTGAAGAACAAAACCACCGAACTTCTGCACCAAGCCTCCGAAGTAGACCTACCATGAACTGAATCAAAGAGATTCTGAAGGACTTTAACTGTACCGGTTTTCTACCCCCTTTCAGAAGCTCCGCTGTAATTCCTTCCTCGCCCGGGGACGTGCTGGAGAGTCAATCTAATCTCGCTCAGAACTGCGCAAAATGCGCGTGTATTAGAAAGTTTTTGTTTTATTTTAATTTTATTTAGTTTATAGAATAGGGTTACAAACCAGTACGCAGTCCATCTGATGGTTAGTGGATGCTGTGGCTTATATACATCTACACTTATCCTTAATTGAGAATAAAAATGCAGATCCGTTGCCATCCCTGAGGACTAAGATGGAATGCCTCGTTTCCAGTAAAAAGGGTCTTCGGTTCTCTCCACTCACCATATGAAACACAGCAGCATTAAGCTGCTATTTTTAGCTGGTATTCTGTGAGAACGTGGTCCTATCCTGGTCGAGCCGAGTCATTCGTGCTACAACCATAATATAGCTTCAGCGTGGCGCTACCACCTAAAATTACGTTAAATTACTTTCAAAATTATTAAAGAAAAGGAATATTTCTCATAACTACCTTTACGTTATAAAACAATCACGGAACACAATTAAACGGTAAGAAAACTATAAAAAAATAATACCGAAATAGAATATGCAAACTACTACTAAACAGTAACACTAACTTATCCAGTTAATTATTTCTTCTTTGTCGTAGTTTGACGTAGCTTGATCGGGCTGCTTACCGTTAGTTATACTAGCTGACCAGACAGACGTTGTACTGCCCTTAACATCCTTAAATTACCAATAAAAAATATTGAAGGTCACTTAACGGGATAACAAATATCCTATCTCTCAAGTTGGATCAAATTGCACACAATGTGCAAAATTTCATTGAAATCAGTTCAGTAGTTTAGGAGTCCATCGCGGACAAAGAACGTGACACGTAATTTTTATATATAAAGATATGCCATTATAGTTGCCAACCGAGAGACGTCAGGCGAATTGAACTAAGTATAGACTTTAATATATAACTTAAATACAAGATCCACATGTATATACGTTATATATATGTACCTATACTATCACGCAATAACTTCCAATAAGTGAAGTATTATAGATTTTATGGACTGAATGATGATGATAAAAATGTAGAAAATTTGTTGGTTCATGTAAATATAAATGTTTAAAATTGTAGAATAAACAATGCTAGGAACTAATTAATTTTTTAAGAAGGGTGTCGTATGAGAAGGTTGAAAGATTTTGTGACCTGGGCGGTATACCGCATAGTTATAACTATCGTAGAATTATAGAAACCAGAGCAGCAGCGAGAATTATTTGTTGTATCAAGCGCTTACGGCAATTCAACTCTATTATGGCAGGAACTCAATGATGTAGACTGTTTACGTGTTGATGAAGATAACAAGAAATTATTTTAAAAAAATAAAGAAGAACTCGAATGGTATGGTGGTGGAATTAAGTTAACCAGTATACATATTGTGCTAATAAAGATTGTTTAAAATTTATTAAATTTTTTCCAATATTTTCGAAATAAGATTTTATTTAGCCAGCTATACATTAAAACACAAACATACGTTCAAAACCTTATTTTACATATTGCAAATAAATACGTCGAATTTATGATTTCCTATCACACCTCATTTATACTATTATTTTATATTTTATGGATCATAAGACTTTTTTACGTAAGCTTTGCCAAGAAGAAGTCCTTATCTTTTACTTATTTTTACTTTTAAAAAATACCTAAATTTGCTTTATAATATTTTAAGGTTATAATTGTAAATATACGGCAAATATAATACTCATATGTGCCGTATATTTGCGGTGTAAGAATAGCAACTAACCCATATCATCCCGTGGGTTTCATAAAAAGCTCAGAATGAAATAAAACATTTTCCTGCTAAAACGCAAAATGATAAAAAATTGCGGTTGCCAACCCGTCTGCCAAGTGTGGCAACTATACTTGTCTGGGCAATCTATGGGGAAAGCCTATGTTCGGATTATGATGACCTATGATGAAGATCAGATTGATGAATAATGAAGGTAGAGGTAATTTTTTATATAATTATGTATTCTCGTTCAGGATGTTATCTAGTATAACTCATACGTAAACTTTTTCACTGTTGTTCATACATTTTTATCATATCATAATTTTTATCGCATAAAGTTTTAACATTAAATGTCGAATTTTCTGACGTCAATATGGTATTCATCGGGAGAAAGGGCGAAAGGAATAGAACAAAATTTGTAAGAAATACAGGGACTTCGAGCGAATAGGTACATTGTTTTTGCGGTAATATTTTACTAATTATTGCAGATGGAAAAATATTGTTATTATAGAACTGCAGTGCGATTAATTAACTCTGGTGGGAATTATGTTTGGCTTCGTATTGACGTTTGACGTTTGTTTCGTTGTATTGTATGAATCTATCAGTATAGATAATAAACCCATGTTTTTCTATAAAAATGTATTATTTTAGGAATCATAATGAGTGCAGTTACGTAGTGACCCCAACGGTTATCGATTTCGATCATAGTTACATAATCACACTGCTGTTACATGCCGTCACACGGTAGTACCGTGCTAGAATCTGTCACACCATTCGTTTCGCAAAAGGAGACTATGATAAATAGCTAGCTAGTCTAGTCTTGCTTCATTCATATAGATGGCGCTATAACTATATTGCATACGTCGTCTATATTGTAGCGTCAAAAGTTCAGGGTCTGTGGTAGTGTGATTGTCAATACGTCGCGTGGAAATTATTTGTAGTAGCTGTCGAGCCATCTTACAATGGGAGAGGATCACGTTCAGAAGTGGAATTTTTCGAATTGATGATTAAGAAGAAGAGAACCCGATACGACTCAGTGCTCAGAGATGGCATCTGTCATTATTAATAAATTATAAATGTAGATATAGACGTAGACTATGGACCACAGTATCATTCACCGTCAAGTGGACTGTATGCTCGTTTGTCGCCCACCTTTATATATAAAATAAAAAGTTGATGATGCATGTTGATGATTTTATTGTCACTCCGGCCAACTTTTTATCACGGTGACAACTTCAGAATAATCTATTTCGTTTTGTCTTTTATAGTTACTACGTTACTACCTGCATAGTAGATATTATAGTACCACAAATGTAGGTACGCATAACACAAAAACACTCACTTGTCCCTAATCTTACCGTGCTAAATGTAACGTTTATACGATAAGATCGAACGTATTTTAAAACGGGAAGGGCAGTGACACGGGCGTAATTGTAGCAAAATCAGACCCTAAACAATTGTGTTATTGCACAAATGTAGCTCGAGCTGGGATTCGAACACTGAGCACGCAATTTAAAGTAATGTGACATGATACAAGTAATAGTATATCATAGTCGTAGAAATTGAAGATTAAGTCAAAGGAGCTGCAAGGAAACCATACCTGTATCCTCGCTTCGTTGAGTTTTGTCGTCCTCGCTAATTCTTCTCTACAGTAAATGTCCGGGTAATGTGATTTCGCGAATGCAGCTTCTAATTCCGCTAATTGTTCCTATGCAATGAGAAAAATGTTTATAAATTTACCAGTTCAACTAATAAATCAACCATAATTACTAATTTCAGCTTACGATCTGTATTAAGTTTAGAAGTAACTTCAAGACAAAATGCGCCTACAAATATCTTTACTAACGATTTACCTAATATGATTGGTAATGATCAATGAAATTATTATTAATTAGCAGACACCTTTGTAATATAATTTATTATATATACTATGATATAATGATTTTTGCTGATGTAAATTAAATTCTTTTCATGTGGAAGAGCTACGATGCAGCGTGTTATGGCTGTAGTAGAAAGGGTCGGATCGTCCGGGGAAGATCCATGCTCTCACTCATGCTTTTACTGGCAACAAGGCATTCAATCTTATTGTAAATCTGCTAATATAGCCTATCGTAGCCACTTATCATCAGGTGGACTGTAATTATGTTTGTCGCATCAGTTTTATAAAAAAGTTTACTTAAAAAGATGTTTACTATTTTACTTTTCCTATTAAGCTGTAACCACAGACTAACAAAGAAAAATAAACAAAACGCTATATACGTTTCAAGAGATGCCGAAACGAAAAGCTTAACTTCTTGACACGCAAAAATCTTTTTTCTTTTCTTTTTTATAGTCCCTAAAAGTACACAGCTAGACGCATACATAAGCACCTAAATCCATGTTATTAGTTCCAATTGATTTAAGATGCATATATGTACGTGGGTACATGTTTATAGAATAATTTGAGCATAAAAATATTTTTTTTTATAGGATAAGGGTGACAAACGAGCACACAGTCCACCTGATGGTAAGTGGTTGCTGCGGCCCATAGACATCTACATCTATCCTCGTTTGCGAATCAAAATGCAGATGCGTTGCCACCCGTGAAGACTAAGATGGAATGCCTCATTTCCAGTAAAAAGGGCCTCCAGCCACCTGCACTCACCAAGCGAAACGCAGAGGTAAACCTCTACTTCACGCTGGTATTCTGTGAGGTCGTGGTACCACCCCGGTTCGAGCCGGCCCATCCGTGCGACAGCAAAAGCTGCCGCGTGGCTCTACCACTGTTTATATAATTATATTGAATTTGATAGACTAGTAGGTAGGTAGTAGGTAGGGCTCGGCAGCAAAGATGTCAATTTTGCGCCCACCAGTCTATGTGTCCAAGGAGTGAGAATGACGATGTTATTTATCTTAAACTTTATGAGGGAGTATATCTATCGGTGGACTTAAACGTGTTGAAATATTACGTTTTTTATTTTTCTTGTCTGATCGGATTTTGCTTAAAAACCACAATAGCTAATGTTTACTCTTCTATATGGGTTATTCTTGTTAAAGATTAGTGTTAATAACTATTTTCACTGTCAATTATTTATTTTAGAGCAGCGAGTGTGTACTTTTTCCAGCGTTATAGAGTCTTCAACCAAGATGTTCTTTATTTGCTAGTCCCTTAATACCTGTTCTGTGCCTGTTTCTCCGTGCAAAATCAAGAATTAGCAAATGTAAGAATTTAGATGTCTTATTGCTATTTATGATCTCCTAATGCCTTGCTCAGTCATTAATATATTGATGTTTCTCGGTCAAGGCATCCATGGTATTCTATATATTCTTCAGACTACTTTCTGACATCTTTCTACGCACATCTTTTACTCTTGTTACTTGATGGTCAGAGCCTGTAGCTATCTATTACTAGATAGGCAGCTATTCATCTTGGACAGAGAGTAATATAATAACTTAGTAAAACATCATATGCGTGCTTCTCCTGGTATATTCTAAGTCAGGCTATTTTCAAGATGGTTAATTCACCATAATTATGTGGGATATTACAAGAGTAAGATGTAAAATTGATACTTGTGAAATAATTGTCATACGCCTTCTTAAAACCCTCACACAAGCAAAAAGTGATCGTAAAACGAGAAATTCGATTAGATATTTAATAATAGATAGAGGTGTAAATAAATTTTACGTGTTTGTTTGTTATAATCGAACAATATAATATAATCAAGCTACGTTTTAGTTGTACTAAACCCCATAACCATTAAATAACTAAGTAGAGATTATTTACATCTATATAGCTATTTGGAGACTTGCCATATAAAACCTAGGCCTTTTATACGGGTCAGTGTAGCGTTTAATGTGCAAAACATTTGTAACTATGTATTGGCGACCCGTTTGCCAAGCGTGGCAATTACGACAAAATCCTCCCTTGAGAGAGACCTCTCTTCTATATACCCAAATCTACTATCATCGGTATCCAATACTTTATTTTTATATTCTCATAAATTAAGTTACTGGAGCAATCTTTTTTTATTCATACGCAAGTAAATGCAAGTTAATGTCTAGAACATTAACTTGCATTTCGAAATATGTAAAAAATAGTAAAATTTTAAGCACCTGTGTAAACGTAGTTCTATGCCTCCGTCTCGCCGGTGTGGGGCATGAGGCGGTAGTAGGCGTGTGGCCTGCGTGTTGCGGACCCAGCGCTGGGGAAAGTGTGGAGGTGGAGCCTGATGTGCCTGTACCTGCAGTCCCGCCTGGTTCCGGTTTTAATTTCTTGAATGCGCCTTCCGCTGTTAAAATAAAAGGATTTGGATATGTGAATTAATACTTTATACGTGGTAGAGCCATGCTGCAGCTTTATTAGTAGTTTAGTTGTAACACGAATGGGTCGGCTCGACCGGGAAAGGACCACGCTCTCACAGAATACCAGCGTAAAATGGCAGCTTAACACTGCTGTGTTTCATATGGTGAGTGTAGAGAACCGGAGACCCATTTTACTGGAGAAGAGGCATTCCATCTTAGTCCTTACTGGTGACGACGCATCTGCATTCTGATTCTTTATTGAGGATAAATGTAGATATCTATGAGTCACAGCAACCACTTACCATCAGGAGGACTGTGTGCACGTTTATCATCCTATCCAAAAAAAAACTGAAAATCGATTTTAAGCTTCGTCGTTCGTAATGAATTCAAAAAGGAAGTGAAATAGAGAAAAAGAAAACGTGGTCGAATAGTAAATGATATTTCTACAGCATAGATACCTATAGCCACCTTGAAATAAAATAAAGAAGCTTCAAGTACTTCAGATGCAGTCACTCATGATTATAGTACACAGGCTATCTTCGCCTTTAAACCTTTACAGCAGAAATGGTGTGTTTGTTGGTGGGGTGTTTTAATAAGATTTTATTAATAACTGTCATATTTAAATTCTGTCTTTAGAAGTCGACATTTCTAATCTATGTTTAAATATTAAGGATGTATTTAAAACATTCGAAATGTTTTATTACTATATAAATATATATAATTATAATGTTAACTTAAACAATCGTTCTTAGACTGTGTTCCGCAATCAAGTCCACTTTGACTCAAAGAAATGGCCTCAGTAGTTATTTGCATAGCGGGTGGTTGGCAGCAGGCATCGATCTCTCATAGGTCAAGTTCGTAAACCTCGCCTGTTTGTAATTGTGTTGGTTTGACTAACGTTGTTAAGGAAGTACCGATTTGAGGGATGTTCTAGATACATTAATTTAATGGAACTAAATTAACTAAATGAACTAATGTACAAATGAACATTTGACTCTTTGAGTCCCGGTAGCTTAGTGCTCACTCGCGGCAACTATCATAGTACACGAGCAACCAGATTTCAATCCTCGCTGCTACCAGTGGAATTGTTAATTGCAATTTTAAGTACTGAATTACAACGAGTTCGACGGTGAAGAAAAATTTTGTGAGGAAATCCGCATGTTTAAGTTATTTAAATAATATTTAGAGGACATGTGAATAACACGTATTGGATAGCACGTCGGCATTTCTACTGCTCCTCTATAGATTTATGATATATTTTCCATTCAAGTTAAACTGCGTAATAAACAATGTAAATCAATTATAGTTTCTAATGTGGACTACATAAGATCTATCGAAGATAATTCAAATAACTTTTTGTAACTTGGTCTTCTGGGCTATAAGTGGAAGGATTCATTATTTAACCAGAAAACTTTACCTTCTTCTGCCGTTCAGTAGCAGTGCACCCTCGGTTCTATTCTTACAGTAAGTAAAGTATCAGTCTATACACGTGCTAATGCTGAATACAAGCCTTTCCCATTTTGCGTCAGGCATTCCATTAGGTACATTGTGGTCGGTGATACGGACATGACAACTGAGCATCTGCCCAGTTCTCATGTCCGTGGACACCTACAAACGACGCCAAAGAGTTGGAACGGCTTGACTTTTAAGAGAACTGCATATTGATTTGATATTCGAATGTGTGTAAATATAACAAATCCATAATTAATTCATTTTCAAGCAAATTACAAATTAAGCTTAAAAATTATTCAACAGTTTAAGTAAGAAGTTTGTGTATCTGGGTTCAAAGTTTACGAGAGATGGAAAGTGTGAGAGTGATATCGAAAGAAGAGTGAATGCAGGAAACATGGTGAATGGAGCTTTGCACTCCTTTATGAGCAGTCGGAAGGTGTCTAACAAGGCTCGTTTGGCTGTGCATGAGGTGGTGTTGGATCCGACACTCATGTACGGAAGTGAAAGTTGGGTATGGCAGAAGAAACATGAAAGCAGAATAAATGCAGTAGAGATGAGAGCGTTAAGAAGTATGATAGGAGTTAAACTGAGTGACAGGATAAGAAATAGTGAGATAAGAAAACGTTGTGGTCTGAAAGAAGATGTAGTGACAAAAATTGAGAAAGGTATGCTGAGGTGGTTTGGCCATGTCGAGAGAATGAATGAAGAACGTTTGACGAAAAAGGTGTATAAGGCGAGTGTAAATGAAAGTGTTGGAAGGGGTAGACGTAGGCGGACGTTTCTAGATCAAATCAAGGACGTCTTGAAAAAAGGCCAGGTCAAGAGTACCCTAAACCAAAGAGCATGTAAGAAGGGAATAATGAAAGTGGACGAAGCGAAACAAGTATGTAAGGATCGTAGCAAGTGGAAAGAAGTGGTCTCTGCCTACCCCTACGGGAAAGAGGCGTGATTATATGTATGTATGTATGTTTAAGTAATATTATCTGTCTATATCCCCATGAGTTTTCTGTTTCAATTTTAGGATGATAAATATAATTTTAATTGAAATCTAACATCATTAATTGCGCACAGTTAAACAACAAACATTTAAATAATAACTCTGAAACACTTTTTCGTGTACATATACCATACCATATGAAGTATAGATATCCTAATATTTGTAAACTATTAATTTACGAGTAAATTTCATTAACCATTTTCATATTCCGTCTGTACATATTCTGCGCACGCTTTCAAAAATGCCGTATTGGCGAAGTAATCAGTTTACCTTTGGTTTCTCTGAGCTTCTGAATTAAGAGGGGGAGATTTTAAAAGCTCTGTTGGAGGTCGGTTTGGCAAGTATTCATGTATTCCCTTTGACGGTGTTCCAGCTACTTACTAATTAACGTGGAGCTAAGTGTTTACGTCCGCGGTAAACGGAGCCTTTTAGGGTTTAAAAGGTTGTCTTTTTTCTTGCCTATGTTTTACCTGCTTTGACGGCGAATATATCGGTTTCGCTTTTTATCTAACATCTTTTGGGAACAGTTATGCTGTTAAAGTTAACTTTTTTAAATATAACCTTTTTTGCAAAACATTTTATGTGACAGACTTTCAATTTATTTGAATTTTTGCGATGCGTTGAAATATTCGAGTAGTATTTTGATATATGTTATGTAATATTATTACAGCTCATCTCTAATTGAATAAGGTATTTTCATTTGGTTTGGCTTTAAAAATAATGATATCTCATACTTTTGATTGTGCAGATAAATTGAGTGTTTGTGCAAATTAGAATGAGTATTTGTGCGCGGTCAATACAGAAGCATAAAACTGTATAAAGTATAAATATAATATATAATTAATATTTATTATTATTAACTACAATAAAAATAAGTAGGTATATTATAAATATACTTGAAATTGTTTATTACAATAAAATAAAAGAAATACGTACTAAATAGTAAATAAATGGCGGGGATAGCTACCAAGCTATTCATTATTTATTTTTTATTGAATTATATAAATTATAGTTTAATGTATTCTAATAATAATCATGTGGTGACGACGTAAGAGAATTACTTCAACTTTACTATTGTACTGTAACGTTAGTCAAAGTGATTGAATGCAGCTAAAATACTCTTTTACTTTTACTTGATATATATTTCGTATTCAATTTCACAAACTGGTACAGTTACCTTTATTACTTGTTCACTTATTGGCGGTTACAAATCAACTAACCGATCTACTCATTACAGCGGCCTTTTGTACAAATTTAATGATTTAATATAGTAACCCAAGATAGAAAATTATTATTCTAAATACTATAAATATTGCATTATAAACCATAAAGTAATTGTTAGTAATCACTGATAATCATAGATCATCACGGGCCTACGGCAGACCGGAGGGAAGTAGCTATACGCAGGCGTTCCCTTTTTGTTGTATAAGTCCACGCGGTCCTATGCGTATTAAAACTAGTTGCGCACAAGACTAAATCTAGTTGCGCGGCTGAATCGACGTGATGCAACAAGAAATTTGCCACATAAAATTTACAAAAAGATACGCCATTTTTTTACATTTCATATGAGAAATTTTTAAACACATTATTACTATTTAATTAAAATAAATAAAGGTCATGTTAGCTTGCCCTCATAGAATATACAGATCGGTTGAGCGACTGATCCGAGTCTGTATCCGAGTTGTCGCAGTCACCGAGCGATACCGTTATAACTTATAATTTATCTATGTGTGTGCAAATTGCTAGTAAGTATATTGTTTTAATTGTTAAGTGTGAGTTTCGTAGTGTCAGACGATTGTTTTTGTATGCGCAGATTTCCCTCTGCAAAAAATGAGTTCTGTATCGGGAAATAACGCTACCGGTCCGCCAGTGGCCCGTATTGCTCTATGCTGATAATAATTGTTTATATACATTTTATAACATTAATATTAAATTCAACGAAAGCGGACTGCGTCAATTGTTATTATTAAACTGTCATTTATTTCATCATCATCATCAACATTACAGCCCTTCACAAGTCCACTGCTGAACATAGGCCTCACCCAAGGAATGCCACAAAGCATGGTCCTGAGCCACCTGCATCCATCGACTTCCTGCCGCCACTCGAGAACATTCTTTTACCATCGGTTGACGGTCCTTCGAGCTATATGGCCAGCCTTTGCCATTTCAAAATTTAATGTATGTTCACAAAAACAAAGATAGTTTTAGTAAAAGAAGTGATATACATTCTGTAAACACTAGGAACAAACACAAGCTAGTGATACCAGTTTCTCGACTCCACAGAGTCAGTAATTCATTCTTGGGGCAATGTATACGCTATTACAACAAGGTCCCGGAAAGTGTACAGGTTCTCTCTATTACCAAGTTTAAATGTTTTATTAAGCTGAAACTGTATAAAAAGGGTTATTATAGTATAAATGAATACATGATTGATAATAACACCTGGGAATGAGGTGATCGCTTCCAAGCAGTTTCTAAAATAAATTTTGTAAATAGTTCGTAATCATTTATATTGTAAAATTTATTTTAAAAAAAATG